GACCAAACATCCAAGTACCTCTAAAGGTCAGCTGATCCGTACTCACTGAACTACTGACCTGAGATATTTCCCTTCGAATTTTAATGGGCCCTGACATCTGGATAGTTAACCGATGGCAGGGAAGGTTGTTCTTGTAGCTGTCTTACGGCAAAAGTGAGAAAGCAGTGGTAATTGTGGTGTATTTCATATTTTTATGTGTATTTGTTTTTGTTATGTTTATTTTCTTCTTTGTTTTTATCTACTTATTTATTTGCTTGTTATTTATTTATAGTATATGTTGGTTTTTTTTCTTATGTTCATGTTATGTGTATTTCTTATCATTATGGTATATTTCACACTGATGCCACCTTGATCATACCATGGACTGATTCGGTAATGCACACTAGCAGAGTAAAATTGGGAACATCATTTGAACAACTATTTGGGGAAGGTGCACCTGCCCGACTGCCTGCCTACCGACCGCCTAAAGTTGTAAGGACACGGTGCACGCGCGCGCGAGAGTGACAGCGTGCCATAGCGAGTGTTTCATGCCGGTGCGGTAAGCGGGTTTTGCATGGGCAGTCCGTAAAAGCGTCCAGTGCACAAGTGGGCGAAGGACCGTTCGAAACTGTTGCCGCGACTGTGCGACCGCGGCCGCAGGGACGCGAAATTAGCAAGCTTAGATATATAATCCAACGGAAATCGCGAGATTTCACATGTGACGTGGCACGTGTCATGTGGCACGTGCACACGAGCGTTCGGAACAGAGTTGCCCGCTTTGTGCGTTTTTCGCATTTTATCTCAGAGTTTGGCAGCCAGACCGGATACAGGTACGAATCTGATTTCAAAGCGTCGACCAACGTACCGTCCGCATCTCATGAGGCTTACACGAGTTTGTGCGACGCACGGTTGCGCCGATAATCTTTGAGCAGGCTATGAATGTCGGCATTTAAAAAAAAGCGGTGCCGAATACAACACGCTGTAGTCGAAATTGCAGCCTGGACAGTGGCGAAATTTACTTCACCCCACGCACCGATTCATTGCCTGCATTTACCACCCATTTAATTGACATTCTGCGCATTTCCGTCCATACATCAATCTTTCGTAAAGGGTTGTAGTTCCACATTTCCGCGTCGTCAAAATGGCACCAGCCGGTCGCTCAGTCGTCGCCGGTGAGAATTTCAAGTAAAACGACGAAACCCGCACGCGCGCCGTATGTGGCCGGCGTCTGGCAGCCGTCATTCATTCGCCCATTCATTCATTTGGTGCAAGGAGAAATGTGAGATATTGTGGCGATCAAATGCATCGTCCAAACTACTTGCTCTGAGGAATGCCAGAGAAGACACACATTGAGTGAATCATAATTTGTAACGGATGTGATAACAGGCCCACAGAAGTGCAGCAATTTCTCAGCGAAGCTCACTCCTCCGGCAAAACAGTGCCGACAGTGCCAACAGTTCGAAGAGGTGCCGAAGGGCCCCTCAGGACCGAAGGTCAATGGCCCGATTGGAAGACTTAAGTGCCCGAATGACTGGCTGTAGGTCGCATTAAGGATGCCTCACGCCCACGAGGCCGTGACCTCCAATGTCATTGTCAATTTAATAATATATATTTATATATAAATATATATGAATATAAAATAATAAAAATAACCAAAATAATAGTAAAAATAGAATAATAATACTAATAAAAATTGTCAATTACCTCCAGAGGGCCTCTTCCACAGATTAGGGACGTCTGGGACAGTGCGGGCCTTTATTTAGGCCAGAGACACCAATACCTCACAGTCGGCTACGTGTCGGTCCGATGTCTAGTCGCGCGCATTTTCAAAACTACGTGACATGATTTGCATCACGAATCGATTTGACTAAATGTTTAACATTTCCAGACAAACATGGCTTTTCCAAGTTGATACAAATCACTTACCTATTTCGATCTACAGTCTACATTCGCGGGGTCCTCAACAGCTATGTAGAACCTAGATCAAAATTATGGCAAAATTTATTACCCCTATCGGTTTAGGAAGAGTCCACTTCTGACCCCTATCGATTTGGAAAGAGTCCAGTGGAACATTATAAAATAAAGAGTGACGAGTCCACTGGAACATTGTAAAATAAAGAGCGACGAGTCTACTGGAACGTTGTAAAATAAAGAGCGACGGTAGTTTATTTCGTGACGGAGGGTTCACGGACTATAAAATTAAGCCATAATTAATATTGCAGAAGCTTCGAGCTTCCGTTCCATTTATAAACGGTAGCAACTAAAAAATAACAAAAAATATATTATCAATTATCATCAACAAATCAGCCACAAACGGCGATTTTTTTCGGGAGGAGGGGGCTGTGCCCTTCGTTGTCAAGGGATCTGGCTGCGCCCCTGTACAGTGTCCAACCGGTAACGTCACTTAAGTGCCACCGGTCAATAAAAGTTAAGTCACCCAAAAATAGCGGAATGCTAAGCGTTATTGCTTGGTGGGCTACGACAGTGATGGAATGACAGCGAAGGCGGCAAGGGAACACCAGTGAGTAGGACGTATGAAAACTGTTCCCAGCGACTGGCATGGTCTTGTCCCACCCCACTTTCCCCAAATCCAAGAGAATACGGAGTTACAATATAGCAACGTCCAACAGCTCTAGAAGAACAATCTAGAGCACCCACGAACTTGTTTCAAGCCTCTGAACCCATAGCGTTGTCGAACTCTATTTGCAGAGCTGACCATAAAGAACACTCTACCATCGTTCTTACTCGTGACCACGTGTCAATATTTCCATCAGCATACGACGGTCTTTTCCCATTTCCTCCTACGCCCGTAGTATTCTTGTCGCCGCTGATAAATCCTGTTCTCCATCACTTCGGACCCAATGACGTTCAAGTGACGTCAGTAGGATGGCGTCGCTGGCTCGAAAATAGCTATCTGATAGGATATCAGTATGTGTGCGTACAGTGCGCCATGCATGCGGTAAAGCGACCACTTAACTTAAATTCGCTTCACTGGTGATGATTTCCAGGGTGTCGGCTTACCGACGCCTTGCTGTGTATTTCTGAAAATTACGCGGTGATCCTTTAGTCTGGGTAGCGACAGCTAACACCGATCGCCGGCCGTATCGACAGAGCACCGAGAGACGGTGCTAATGGGTCCGCAGGTGACAAATGGTAGCACTGCTTGACGGCGGTGTACGGATGGCGGCCCGCATAATGGGCTCATGTGACGGGGACGCATGCGGACTTCCCTCGGGCTAATGCCAGGGTCAAGACGTCGGTTCTGCCATGCTCGGATCGGAATTTCTGGCGCGCGTCCAGCCGCATTCTGAGCTCGTCCCTCTTCAGCGGGGTGGTTTATTGAAGGCCTGGTGGTCGGCCCGCTGACAGGTCGGCAGAGTCGGTGTGCTGTTACATGTCGGTGCGCCACACTGCCGGAGGCAATTAAAATGACATGTCTTGACGTCCCCTTCATGCTATTGGTCGCTAATTGAACAACGGGACTTCGTCCGGCAGCGAGTCAGCTGCTGGCCCTCCAAAGTGCTTTATCTAGTTGCGAGGAAGGGCAAACGGCGAACTACGTAAGGAAAGATGTTCACCATTGAGACAACATTGCTATGCATATTACTGTAATTTCTCCCGAGCGTGATTGTGAAAGAAAGTGATGTAAGTCAGCTTTTTCATGTTCGGTCACCGATGAACAAGCGGGATGCATTACTTGAATGAAAAACAAAGCAATACTTTTGGAAATAGCCACTGAACGACACGATTATGTTGCATATTTGCCTGTTTTTTCATGACTTCACATTTGATCATTTCAGAGCAAACTAGATCATTTCGTTCTTTTACCATGCCACCATTTTTCGTATTATTAGTTAGTACTTACTTTTAGCACAACCACTTATATTTGCATGCCTTGTGTCATTGGGCTGCTGCACCATATGACCCCATATGATAAAGGCATCGGCATCGCTTTATCGGCATCAGCTGAGCATTTTCTTCGTGGGATTTTAAGCTGGAGCATTTTTAGCACATCCAGGTTAAGACATGTGCATATGAGTTTTATTGGGTCATAGTTCACACACACACACACACACACACACACACACACACACACACACACACACACACACACACACACACACACACACACACACACACACACACACACACACACACACACACACACACACACACACACACACACACACACACACACACACACACACACACACACACACACACACACACACACACACACACACACACACACACACACACACACACACACACACACACACACACCACACACACACACACACACACACACACACACACACACACACACACACACACACACACACACACACACACACACACACACACACACACACACACACACACACACACACACACACACACACACACACACACACACACACACACACACACACACACACACACACACACACATATATATATATATATATATATATATATATATATATACATAATATTAAGCAGGGCCCGGTCAACTGTTTTTAAAGGTTTAGTCCGAGACTCCTCCGCGAATGGGGCAGCGCCAACACTAAGCATTGCTCGTGGTATGAGCCCTGACCCCACCGCCTGATCGCAAAATCCGGGTCAACGGCAGCATATCGTGGCGAAAATCTAACGTGCCACAATGCTCTGCACGGTCCGCCAAGCCCTGTGACGCCACCCGACCTAAAGTGCCGCTACTGCCACCGGCCACCAGCCATCAGACAAGAATAAATAACGAGTGTAAGGCGACTCGAACCCACCCAGCCACGGATGACCATCAGAAGGCAGGCGCTTTAACCAGCCGAGCTATCGGGACGGACGGACGGCCGATTTAGTGTTATTACCGTTCCAACCTGTGAGTGATCCAGGCAATTTCATCATCTGCCTCTCCTCGACCTTCCCCTCGGCGCTGCAACGTTAAGTGTAACAATGCATAACAGTTTTCAAACGCAAACAATTCGTGTTGTGTGCGCAGACTGGCGGACCGTTGCGACACCCACCTGGTTCTCGGTGGTGAGCAGCTTGATCTGGTCGTTCATCAGGCTGTACTTGGCCGACTCATCCTTCCGCATCTGACGCTCCTTCTTCAGCTCCGGCGACCAGAAGGTCTTGATGCTGTGCATGCTGGAGCCCAGCTTCTGATTGGTCAGCTCCAGTTCCTTCTTCAGCTGGCTGAGCTCGCGGTGAAACTCGCCGTTCTGCGCCTGCATCTCCACTATGTACGAGTCGCGCGTGTTGCCGTGCTTGGCTCCGAACTCGGGGTTCGGAGACTGGCGCGCCGACCGCGACATGTGGTGGCCCGGCGACGGCCCGTACAGACCCTCCTCGTCCATCATGCCGTCGCGCATGCCGTCGCGCATGCCGTCGCGCATGCTGTCCCTCATGCCGTCGCGCATGCCGCGCTCGAGCGAGCGGTCTCGGCGCGGCGGCATGCCCAGTTCGGGCCTGTCCAGCGAGCGGTCGCGCGGCGGCGGGTCGCGGATCGGCACGAACTCGCGCTCGTGCCCGTCGCGCTCCAGGCCGCCGTGGTAGCCGCGCGACGAGGCGCCGCGCGACGTGGAGCGCGAGCGGTGGTGCGAGTTGGCGCGAGGCCCCCCGCGGTCCAGGTGATCCATGCCCGGGCTGCCCAGCTCGTCGTTGGGGTACGGCGGCGGCTCCTTGGCGTGCGCGCTGGAGGTGCCGTGCGGCGCGCGGCGCGGCTCGCCTGGCAGCGGCGAGTTGCTGGTGGAGCGGCTGTGACGCTGCGAGCGCCTCACCAGCGGACTGCCGCGGCCGGCGGCCTGCTGCGGCGGGTAGGCGCCGGCGGTCACCGGCTCGGCGCGGCGACCGGCGCGGCCCGGCGGCGGCTCAGTGGCGTACAGCTCGCGCGACATGCCGCCTCACCGGCGCAAGAGCCGCTCGACACCGCGTCACTCATGCTGCCCACACCGGGCAGCTGCCACCACTGGCCCAGGCGCCGGCCGACGGCACATCGGCCGCCCGACCGCCGCCGTCGTCGACGCGTGCGATCAATCGGCGCTCGACGCACGCCCGCCCGCCTTGGCGTGCTCTTATGTTGGCGAACGGTTCGCGCGGCCGCGACGCGCCTCGGCCACGAGTCAACGAGTCGAAGGGTCGCACGACAACCGTCCGGGCTGGCGGCGGGAGGAGGGAGAGGAGCGGACAGCGGTGCCACCACGGGAGGGGCGGGCCGCGACCCAGCGGCGACGACTGCGACGCGCCAAAGCCCGGCTGCATCCTGCGCTGGAAGGGGAGAGAGCGCTGGAAACCAACACGTTGGCCGGAGGCAGCCGCCAGCCGAGGAGGAGACCGAGACCTGCCTCGGGTCGGCGAGTCTCCCTGCGTCTCCGAGAGCTGGCCGACAGCTGCTAGCCGTCAGCCGCGCGGCAGGCTCGGGCGCGGCGCCATCTCGCTCTGGCCGGCGTCTGCTGCTTGGGCGACCCGAGAGCGGGGACCACACGACTGCTGACAGATGAGAGGACGGCGATGATCGATGCGACCTGACCCAGTTTGCCTTGGGCTAGCTCGACGACCAGCGGCTCGGCCAGCGTGCCCTTCCGCGAACGGCAGGGTTTTCCAGTGACGAGTTCCCGGCATCCGACCAGTGCCAAATGGTCTTCGGCCAACAGAGGACTTATCTCTGAACTAGCAGGGGACGCTCCTTCAAATATGCCGAGTGCGCCCTGAGTATAGTGAGTCTCGGGCGGCCAGCATTGCATTATACCCGACCGGTGGCAGAATCTGCTCCAGACACAACAGGGCATCTGTGTAAGCAGTGCAACGAAAACAATAAATTCCAGGCCACGCAACGGGCTGCAACACAACGCATTTTAGTCGGTCACCGCATAATCTCATCGAAAACAAATGTTGCGGTATTACTTTCGGTGCGATAGAACGTATCCATTGGGCTTGGTCACCGGTGGACTTTCTCGAGGCTGGGAGTGGTTCTGCTCCGGCCTGACACCCCTCCCCCTCCCGCCCAGCCCCACACCCCCTGAACGTCCGGGCGGGCGTCATCGATGGGCGGCATTGTGCCGACGGCCGGCGGCGACGAGGCCGCGCCCAGCCCCGCTGGCGGCACGGCCGCCGTGTCCAGCGGCGCGCCTCTACGCCGGCCCGCCGCTGTGTAATGGTCACACGCTGCTGATGGCCGGCCACCCGGGATTGGCAAGCCGGTTCTCATCAGCACCCCCGCCGGCGGCGGAGCGGGTCCCGTCGCCAGCGACACCGTGGGTCCCCTGGCCGGGGTCAGGGGTCTGAATTCTGGTTGTGTGTCTGCGGAGTGTGAATGTTTTAAAATAGGACGAGGCGGCGCTGGTGGCGACGCTTTTGTGGATTTTTCATTCACATGCATGCATGTAAATTGTCGCCATAAGCCCAGATCGTGGACAGCTGCTGAATGAGGCGGGCTGGAAACTGAAGGGGCACACACGAATTGCCGATCCAGGATCGAACAATTCGATATCGCGCTAATTGCCCTACGCATGGCTGCGGTCGCATAGCCACCCGATGCCATTAATGTTACCAACATTGAGTATGCAATGATTATTGTGAGCTGGGAGGACGTCGTGTAGGGTATCAGTTTAACCGACTATCTTCTCATAAAACGGGTACTTAAATGTTTGCTAAACGTCATTGTCACGCTTAACGTCTAAACGTCCTAACGTTGCAAACTGTCAACATTAGATTACAAGGTATTTATAGCATATCAGAACTAGAACTTGTGATGGGTAAATACATACCGCATGTCGTGCCAGGATATGTGATCTATCAGAATTCCTGTTATGTCACGTGATGTGTCATGCTAGGTCAACTATTTGAAGACGACTGTTGCTTTGGCTAGTGCGGCTATTTAAAAAACTTAACACATTATTGTGTGGAGGACAAGGTTAGAAAGGACTTCACAAGTCGTCAGATAGATACTGTTAGGGTTTAAATGGCATGACCTGCAGATCGTCAAATATTGTAACAACTGTCAGAGTTTGACGTAGTTTGACATAGGATGGCACGGCCTTGCAAAAGTCACTAGAACGGTAGTTGTGTACTTCAGAGTGATATAAACAGAGTGGAGTCGAAAACTGTTTGGTGCGCGTTTCTTGCGACGATAAAGCGTAATTTGTTGCTTTGAGAAAATTGTGACCCATAAGACAGAAGAAATAGCCTTATTCCTCGGAGAAAAGCCTGGAAAATGGAGATATACATGCGTTGATATTTCAACAACATGCCTTTATCGAAACGAATAGCAGAAGCTCCTGCTATTCGTTTCGATAAAGGCATGTTGCCGAAGTATAAACGCATCTATATTTCCATTCTTGCGGTTTTCCGAGGAATAGGGACTTCACTACTGTCTTGTCTAAGCGCATAATATTCTTCGCAAATGCGCTTAACAACTTACGTAAAATGTAGCCAACATAACCTTCAGGAAGATATTGATCGTGATCTGTCGAGGTCAGAAACTCAAGATTTCCACATCATGTCTACAAATGTTGGAAAATTAGGCACCCAAAATTTTACTAGAATGTTTGAATCGTCCAGAAGTTATTCCGAAAAACTGCACGGGGCCTCGGAGACACTTCCGCGTGGTTCGTAGAGAGGGGGTTGTGAACCTCTGTAGCGTATCTGCACCTCTCGATGCATTCGACGAAACGGAGCAAACTGTGAGCTAAAGCTCGTCGGAAGTGAGCTCAGCAAAAAGGCCCACATGCATACGTGACATTAACTCCATGTAGCGGTAGGTGGACTGGTGAGTAGAACCTCAGTAGAACCAAAGGCCAGGTGGTTCACAATTACCGCCGTCATCGCAACCATGTCACCGCAATCATGTCATCGCTACATTATTCGCTGGTGGGACACTGGCGACCCTCACCATGCTTTTTGTCACGCTCATCAGCTCCCTATCGGCATTGGCAACAATCTTCTAATTATTATGCCCTAGTGTTTACCGAACGTAATGGTGCCTCCCACTTCATGGCATGTAACGGATTGCATGCTCTGCGTCCGCAGCATCGCACTAACGATACTTTATCACGCGATGTGTCTATGAACGTCGATAAACGCTATGCGCATGGCATTGTGATGGCAGGCGACCAAATGCGCATTTAGAATGCCTCCCGCTCCGTGCCGCTCCGTCCGCAGTCCCCGCAGGCGACACCTGGCGCCAGTGCGCCGGGTGTCGCCTCGCTTCTGCGCTCGCAGCTCGGCGACGAGGCTCTGTCTGCGCACGATCCGGCCGAGAGGTCAGGTCAGGCCGACGCCAGCTGGCAGGGTACGGGGTTAGTCTGTTGGAAGCTGCGGCTTTGCCCTTGGCGCGAAATGACAGGTGCTTGGTAACCGGCCGCGTGACGGGGGTTGCAGGGGATGAGTGCAAGTGGCCTTTTATTTGTCACATAAAGGGTAGAAAATTATGGTTAGCTAAACCAGATTTTCGACCTATGTAATATCAATTTATTTACTATCTATCGCAACGCTGCGGGCTAAAACATCGTCAGTCCTGAGAATATCACCGTCGCGCACTCGTTCACCATAGAGCCATTTGCAGAACACTACGTCAGCAGCGAGATCCAGAAAGATGAAGAGTTCCCAATGAAGCAGGATGATTTGAAACAACGTTGCTCGTATTGAACTCAGAGGCAACCTTTAAATGAGCCTACTGTCTTTAGATATGCTTATTATGCGAATGACATCAAGCTCTTCATTTGTCGGCGTGTCAATGAAAATTTCAAATTTCAGTCTACCTTCAAATGTCAATAAACGCCCATAAGTATAATTAGACAGACTGATGAACAGTAGACATGTACTGATGAACGATAGACATAACTTGGAAGGATCTACATGCATGCTAAAAGCTCGATTATCATCATTCTGTAGCTATAGATCTATGTGAGTGCATGGCGAAATCATCAGCATTGAAAGCGTCAGTCCCATGAGCCAGCCAAAAAGCAGACGTCCAGTGGGCGACACGGTTAGGTGATACAGCGGCAGAGCCGGGAGTGAGATAATACAGCGGCAGAACCGCCAGTTAGATAGTACAGCGGCAGAACCGGCAGTTAGATAATACAGCGGCAGGACCGGGAGTTGGGTAATACAGCGGCAGGACCGGGAGTTCGATAATACAGCGGCAGACCCGGCAGTTCGATAATACAGCGGCAGACCAGGGAGTTCGATAATACAGCGGCAGAAACGGGAGTTAGATAAAACAGAGGTATAACCGGGAGTTCGATGATACTGTGGCAGGACTGAAACTCTGTGTTCTCTCCGACCAAGGGAACTGCTGATGACTCTGTCCGCTAAGTATGGCAGCCTGTGCGGTCGGCATGACTCGACCACACGGAGTCTGGCCGGTCGGCATGACTCGACCACACGGAGTCTGGCCGGTCGGCATAACTCGACCATGCGGAGTCTGGCCGGTCGGCATGACTCAACCACACGGAGTCTGGCCGGTCGGCATGACTTGACCACACGGGGTCCGGCCGGTCGGCATGACTTGACCACACGGGGTCTGGCTGGTCGGCATGACTCGACCACGCGGAGTCAGGCCGGTCGGCATGACTCGACCACACTGAGTCTGTTCGGTCGGCAGGCCGCGTCGGACTTGGGTGACCTCGCCTGGTTTTTGGTGCGGTTACGAGGGAGCACCGTCGCGAGGTTAGATGCAAGATGATGGCAAGTGAAATTTTTGTTTTCCTTTCTGGTCAGTCAG